AGGAAAATGCAAATTAAAACCACAGTGAAATATTACCACACATTTACTAAAAAGGCCCAAAATTTAAAATCTCACAATACCATGAGTTAGTGAGAATGCGGAACAAGAGCTCTCGTGCATTGCTGATAGGAATTCAAAATGGGTAGCTTCTTATGAAGTTAAATACACACCCACCCTTTGATCCAGCAATTCCACTCTTAAATATTTATTTATACAAGAGAAATGAGAAAGTATGTCCACAAAAAGGCTTGTTTAAGGATATTCATAGAAGTTTTATTCCTAATAGCCACCCCCCTCCCAAAAAAAGCAACCCAAATGCCCATCAGCAGAAGGAAGGATAAATGGTTGCATATCCACACAAAGGGATACTACTCAGCAATGAAAAGGAGCTAACTTCTGATACACACGATAGCGACAGCGTGGATGAGTCTCACAGACATGCCAGGTGAGAGAAATCAGATATAGAAGTCTATGTATACTGTATGTTTCCATTTATATGACATTCTAGAGCCAACTAAGGGCTAGTTAAGGTGACAAAGCTCAGAACAGTGGTTGTGGGGCTGCAGAGGAACCACGTGGAAGACACATGAGGGAATGTTCTGGGGCAGATGGAAATGTTCCAGGGGGAGATATGGGTGTGGGTTACATGCGGGATCCATCAGTCAATATGGTGCACTAAGATGTGTGCATTTCACCATGTGTAAATTACCCCTCCAACAGAAACCAACTATGAAAGTCTTACTAATAATTGACTGGGCCAGGGTGAGGGGCAGGTGGAGGTAGAGACTGACCAGGAATGGAAGACAGTTGGTCATGGCTGATGTCATGTAGTAGAACACAGAGATCCAGAGTAGAGTGAGGGCAAGAGACACATTATTCCAGAAAGGGCAAACAGGAGAAGTGACCCCAGGAATGGGAAGTCTGGGAGGGGAGGGGTCACCTGGCTCTGCAGAAGAGACTGTATAACCGATGTAAGGAAGAGAAGGTCCCGAAAGGAAGAGAAGATGTTTCTCAAAGACATCAGGAATTGAGAGCAGGAGATAGAGACAGAGAAAGAACAAGAACGAAAATGTCACCCTGTTTCTGGGAAGATACCATCTTTTGAAGGAAAACCCAGCCTTTGAGGAACTGGGAGCCCCTGGACTGAGCAAAGACTGGGTTTGGTTGGTCAAACGAACGTGTCCAGAAGCAAGGTACCAATAGGACTGTCTCTTAATGCTGTTAGAACTAGTCTATGTAACCGCCGTGTGTCTCTGTTCCATATTTGGAGCCTCTGCCTACACGTATGTTTTTAGCATCTGGCTGTTTATTTTCTATCCCCAGCCTGTTAGACAGCAAACAGTGCTCACCAACATCACACTAAACACTTTCAGAGCAACTCCTACACGGCAGGCCCTTTGCTAGACACTGAGTTGCAAACATGGCTAAGACAATGTCCCTTCTTCCGAGAGGAGCTCGCAGCACACACATTTGCTCTGTCAGTGGTGTCTCTGACAAATGCAGGGAAAAGATGTCTCCAAAGAGAGGGGAGAGAACTGGCTAGAAAATGTTTGGCTTTTTCTCATACACTCCTGTGTGTGTCCCCCAAGATATGGTTTGGTGGAGAAGGTATGCAAGCTGGGGAACAACAACGAGTGCCTGAGATAAGGAGCCACATACCTTTCCCTTTAAGACTGTGGTCCCCAACCCCCAGGCCATGGACCGCAGGTGAGCCGCAGGTGAGTGAGCAAAGCTTCATCTGTGTTTACAGCCACTCCCCATTTCCACCGCTCACCTGAGCTCCACCTCCTGTCAGATCTGTCACTGTCCCATCATCCCCACATGGGACCGTCTAGTTTCAGGAAAACAAGCTCAGGGTTCCCACTGATTCTGCATTATGGTGAGTTGTATGATTATTTCATTATATATTACAACGTAATAATAATAGAAATAAAGTGCACAATAAATGTAATGCACCTGAATCATTCCCAAATCATCCCCGACCCCTGCCCAGTCTGGAAAAATTGTCTTCCATGAAACTGGTCCCTGGTGCCAGAAAGGTTGGGGACCGCTGCTTTAATAAGTTCCCGAGTGTCTGAAATGTACCACTTAATGGGAACAGTGGTTGTAAGTGAAATAAGTGAATTCCCTGCAGATGACTGGGTATGTACAGGACTGGAAGCTCTTTCTTCCCTTCTGTCCACCTTGAGGGGCTGGGGCTGGGTCTTCCTCAGCCTCCTATGCCCCCTGCCGTCACTCAGCACTCTGTGGAGGCTGGGACTCAGCAAACATTTGTTAAATGGCTAAATAAATAGGGGAGTTAGGGTAGGAGAGGAAGGAGAGGGCTTTGCAGGCTGTTTGCAAAGTAGAGTTTACCCTGTGAATTTGTTTATTTTCCAGTGTCTGGTTGGGGCCGTAGAAGGGCAGGACCTGGCTAGCGCTGCATTGCCAAGCACCACTCAACGTCTCCCCATCTGGTTTTGTAAACAGTCCCCTTTGATCTTAGCAACGTGCTGGGATGGAGACAGCTGTGAGGGGGCAACGCAGCATTCTCTGCCCGACGCCCCCCTTCCCGCCCTTGGTTCTAAGTGACTGCTCACCTCGCCAAGCCTGGTACCTACCCTTCTGCTGCCCCAAGTTCTAGTATAAGTCTCCAAGGGACCTGAGCTGCTTCTCCAAGGCTAAGGAAGCCATGTGCTTGGGGAGGGTTGATACTTTTCACACAGTAGTTAACTGTCACGTACCAAGCTGGGGTCTGTGTGGGGACCACGCTAAGTGCTTCATCTGCAGCACCTCATACTGTCCTCGGGACAGGTCACTCCTCTGAGGAAGGTAAGTTATTGCCCCATTCTTCAGGTGAGGAAACCAAGGACCGGAGAGGTTTGAGGGATTTACTCACAACTGAGTAGAGCATCAGGATTGGAATGACAGTTTCGCAGCCTGTCTGGTCCAAAGCCTGGGTTCAAGGCTACCCTGCTCCTCTTTGGGGTGGTTTTTATTCTCTTTTCCAACTGGGGGAAGGGTGAGCGGGGAGGGACCCTGAGCTGGGACACTGGCAGTCAGTTGGACTGCAGCGATGGCCGCCTTGGCTGCTGGGTGGAGCTGCTGCGTTTGCTGGGGGGAGGGGGGGGAAGGTGGGGGCACCCGAGCAGGGACCAGCGAGCAGTGAGGTTTGTGGCAGAGCAGCCACAAAGTCACCACTGTCATCCCACAGCCGGAGCAGCTGGAGCATCTCTTTTAATCCTCACAGCTCCGTGAGGGTGGAATTGTCATCATCATTCCCATTTTGCAGAGAACAGAGCTGAGGCTCAGAGCTGCCTGACCCCAAACCCCAGTCCTTTATATCTTGCACTGTGCCTCTTGAGGACGGACCCCCGCCTTTTTTTCCTCCTCTTTTCTCCACCACCTTCCTCCCCAGCATCCCACTGCCCTACCTCTGCACATTCCGCCCCAGCCCTCATGCCCAGCCCCTCCCTGGGGCCGTCCTCGTTTGAATGTGCCGAAAAGTGGTCAACATTAATCGGGTTGCCAGACATAGCAAATAAAATTACGAGGTGTCCAGTTAAATTTGAGTTTCAGATCAACAATGGCTACTTTTTTAGTGTAAGAATGTCCCATTATTACGTGGGACATATGTATACCCAAAACGTATTTGTTGCTTATCAGAAATTCCGACTGAATTGGGCATCAGGCATCTCACATGGAGGAGGCCCTGCCTTGCTGCTGCGCTCCGGCCTGGGGTTATCTGGCCCTTCCCAAGAGCCTCTCCCGCAGGCCCCTCCACCTAGAGAGTTCTGATGGGAGTCGGGCTATTCTGGGCTTTTCAAGGACCTAACGCAGAGGGGAGAGGCACACATCACCACGCTGCTGGCCAGCAAGCAGAGCCTGGGGGATTGGGGGTGGTGGGCACAGGCTGGGGGTGGCAGCAGTAACTCCATCTGTTATTCTGGAGGAAGACCCATCGTGGCTGAGCAGTGGGGGGTCCTCCTCACTCCCCCAGGAGTCCCCACGCGTGCCCCACCCAGCTCCAGCTCCGCAACGCTCGTCCTCAGGGTCTCTTATTCTCCCACTGCACTGTCCTCCCCCCGCCAGGACATTCAGTTGGTGGCCGTCCACCCCTCTGATAAGGCGAGTGGGAGCCTAAGCCTAGGCTGATAAAGTAGAGGCTGGAGAGTTTCTGAATAAGCTGCTGCTGTCACCACGGCCACCCTTCTGTCACCTGCTCACTGTGCTCCTGGGAAGGGAAGTTTCCCAAAGGTCATAGTCACCCTGGAGGGTGCCACTCACCTCCCTCTTCAGGCCTCCCAGCTGGTGCCCAGGCCCCGGCCAGCGACAGAGTGGAAAACTAGCTCGGGTGATAATGCGCGTGTGATCACGGCTGGCTTTACCGGGATGCAGGGTCACCTCAGCACGTTTGCCAGACTGAGTGTGTCTGTGTCCGTGTTTCATGTACTCGCCTTGTTCCCTGTCTGAGATGAAGGCTGCCTGAGCCGGCCAGCGTGCTCCACCTGGTTTTCCCGGCACCTGCCCTGGGCACCTGCCACACCTGCAGGAGGGAGGGATCGTTGCCACTGAGGTCTGATGAGGGGTGCCCAGGAGGACAGTTCGTGTACTCTGGGGCCCGAGGGTGGCCTTGCACTTCAGAGTGCAGGGTTTCTGCCCCTGCCTCCACCTAGGTTTGGGAGCATGGTCCCTGCCCAGCCCATCCCGCACAGGCTGCCAAGGGTGAATGCTACACAGGCAGGGCTGAAGCAGCCCTCTGCATGTGGATTCCCTTCTCCCTGGTGCACAGCAAGGGGCAGTCCCCTCCCCACTGCCACCACCATCTGCCAGGACCCTCAGTGGGCAGCCCCTCCAGGCTGGCTTCACCCCTCTCAGGACACAGCCCCTCCCATCTGCCTGATGTTCACGCCTCCAACTCCAGTTCAAAGACTCAACATGCTCTAGAGCAAAGTTAAAATGAGCTCCTTCCTTCAGGGAGGTGAAGGAAGGGCAGAGGGAAATGTTCCCTCCTTACTTACTGTCCTTGATGTCCCAGGGCAGAATGGGGGATCTGGGAGCCACTCGGTGCTCGTGCAGGGAGGAAGCCGGCGATGAGTTTCTGCTCAAGTCCTTCATCCCATTTGGGGAAAGCCACCCCGACAACATCCAGAAGTCCGTGTGCTGCGGCTCCCAGCAACTGAGCAGGCTCCAGCAGGGATGAGCTCACCAGGATATGGCCTAATGGGTTAACTCTTTGTGAGCTGCTGGCACAGGCCCTCGGAATGTGGCTTTTTCAGCTCTGCTCAGCCACTACGAGATGCATGTTGTGAAAAATTCATGAAGCTTCTCTGCAGTCTGTCTCCAAGTTTCAGGGGAGGCGCACATTCGGTTGATGTCTGGGCAGAGCGGTTTCTCCTGACCTGGGCTCAGTAGTCAGAAGCCCTGGACTTCCTGGGCTGGTGGAGGTGTGCGGTGGTGATGGTGGTGGTGATGGGTTGCCAAGGTGGGGACTACACCTTCCAACTGTCCCCGAGGCTATGCTGGGTCTGTTCAGTGCAAGTCTTAATGGTATCTGGAAACTCCCTTTGTTTGGGATGTTAGAGAGGGCCCAGGAAACATCCTGGGTTCCAGGATGGCAGGGATACCTCTGGGAACTTTCCAGTGCCTACAGGTGGGTGCTCTATGTTACAGAATGCCAGGAGCCCACAGCAGAAGCCACCCCGCCCCAGGCCCACATGTCTCTGAAAGCAGCACATTCATGCTGGCCCCTCTGTTGCTTTCCATGGCTGTCCGCTCTCATGGTGACGAGAAGAAAATGATGAAGATCACTGCACGGGGGAAGAAAGGGCTTCCATCTCTATAAACCTTCCTCAGACTGTGCTTCGGGAAGCCGGGCGTGAGCGGTTGAGTTGCCAGTTCTCAAGATGCCGATGGATACGCTGAGGTCGGCAAAGTCTTACAATTCTGAAAGCCCCACCAAACCCTGCCCTTGTCCACCCTAGCCTGAGAACGTGGGTAGCTGCTGCTTCTGAGGGCAGCAGGCTGGGTGAGGGTCCTTGCTACTGGTCGCAGTACATGGGGGAGCTTCCTCTGCGGTCTGCAGGGAGGGCTCTCCCGGGAGCGATGCGGGGAGGCTGAAGGCCAAGGCAGGCAGGAACTCCCCGCTCTCCCGCATCTTGATTTCCTCACCTGAGCAACGAACAGGAGACTCCAGAGACTGCTGTGTGATCAGTGACTGGAGAAGCAGAGAGCTACAGGGTGAGCCCATCCTCTGAGCTGCTGTGGGGACCTCTGTCCTCTGTCAAAAATGAGCGTTTCTGCTCAGGGAAATGTGCAGTGAGGTGGCCATGAGCATCCAGGGGCACTTGAATTTGAAAGCTTTTGCGCATGGGATTTGCTTTGTCTTAGATGCCTCTGACTTTATGCTCAAATCCAATCCGTTTGTAAAACCAAATGGCCTGGCTTGCAAAGGAACCCTGCGGTGAGTTATTTTGCAATGCAAATAATCAAATAATTCATTTTTTTCCAAAGTTCAGGCTTCTGTGCTTTTCCTTACCATCTGCAGGGTGTGGCAGTGACACCACCAGGCAGGGTAAACCCTTGTTCATCACCCCCCCACGTCAGGCACTATTCCAAGCACTTTATATATAAAACAATTCACTTATTTCCCACACAACCCTATGAGGTAGGTATGTGAGGTACACCACTATCCCTATGTTTAGTTACTTCTCTGGGCCTTAATTACCTCATTTATTAATTGGATATGAACATTGCTACATCATAGAGGTTTTGTGAGGATTAAATGAGAAAATGCTCATAGCAAGCACTTAAGGAACATGCACGATATATGTCTTCATATAATAGACATGTATTCATGTACATGTGTAAGTATAAATGTAAATTAGGGGGATTCGGGGCAGAGGAGAAAGTGTCCAGGGCAGAAGCTGTGTTGCCTGCAGGCTCCTTCCTAGCAGGATAGAGGGGCGGCGTGGGAAGCCAGCCAGGCCCCGGGCAGCTGCTGCTGCATTTATGGTGTCAGAGGGGCTGAAAGCAGGTGTCGACACTGCCTGGCATCGCTCGTGGCCTCTCATTCAGTGCCCTAATTCCCAGCCCTGTAGCTCACAGGGCTCTAGCTCACCTCTGCACCCTCTTGCCGGCCGGTCCACTTTCCACGAAGCAGTGGGGTGGGAGCCTGACCACCTAGGTTTGCCAGCACCGATGGGTTTCCCAAGGTACGGAGCTTTCAGGGTTAAAACCAGGAAAGTTCCAAGAAAATCTGGATGAATCAGTTACCTTAGTAAAAACTTCTGGGGCAGTGTGTGCCCTTTGGAGCCTCATTCCTTGTACATGGTGGGCCCTCTCCTTCTGGAATGCTGTCTCTCCCATCTTCATGTAGCTGACCCTGTCAGTCTGGCCTAGCCCTGTCCGCGGCCTCCCTCCTCTGGTTTTATGGTCCATTACACTCATTGATGACTGTCTGTCTGCCCGCCCCATCCCACGAAGTCCCCCAAACTCCTCAGAATACTTTTCTCAACAAAAAATTTTTATTATGGAAAATTTTAAACACACACATACACACACACACGGGACCTAATGAATCCCCACAGTCCCGTTCTGACATTATCAGTGCTCATTCTGTTCCATTTATTTCCCTCCTGCATCTACAGTCAACCCTTGAGCAGCACGGCGTTGAACTGCGAGGGTCCACTTACACGGGAATTTTTTTCAATAAATACATTGGAAAATTTTTTGGACATTTGTGAAGATTTCAAAAAAACTCACATATGAACCACATAGCCTAGACAAGGTTGGGTATGTCACGACTGCATAAAATATATGTAGATACTATTCTGTTTATGTGTTAACTGTTTCTGCCATCTGTAAGGGGTCAACAGTAGGCTATTAGTGTTTACATTTGGGGGGAGTCAAAGGCAGATTTTCAACTGCATGGGGGTTGGCACCCCATGTTGTTCAAGGGTCAACTGTATTTTATTTCATTTAGTATTTTAAAGTAACTCCCAAACATCTATTTTTGAGTAAATGCTTCCAAGTAGAGATGTGTTTTTCTAACAGACAACTTCCTTCCTTCCTCTCTTTTCTTCTTTTTTCAAAGAGTAACTACAGAGCCATCACAATCACAGCGAAGCGTAAGCGTTCCTTAATAGGGATACACATTCCACATTCTCATTTCTCCGACTGTCTCAAAACCACCTTTTAAATAGGTTCCTTCCAAGCAGGATCCAAACAAGTCCCATCTATTACTCTTAGTAGCTATGTCTCCGAACTTTTCACCTCTAATAGCCTTTCCCTCCTTTGTTCATGTATTCATTGAAGACTCAGAGAACTTCCCACATTCTGGGTTTAGTTGCCTGCTTCCTGACGGTGGTATTCAGTATTTTCCTTCATTCCGAGGCTGTGCCTCAATCTCCACCATGGCCCTGGATCCTAGTGTTATGGAAGCAGGTTCCGGTTCATTCTACCCTTGCACGACAAGCTAATTACTGAGACAAGAGGTTTTGCAAAAGAGAAAAGGCAGCCAAGCGAGAAGGAGGGAGAATAGGTTTCCAATCCACCTCCCTGATTATAAGCCGTAGGGATGTTTATGGATTAGGGAGGTGGGGTGGTCTAAAGGTGATTGGCAGCAGGCAAAAATGAAGTGACCTGTGATCTGCGCAAGCACAGCTGGGGCTCATGGCGTTACACAGGGCATAGATTCAGAAAATGGTGGCATGAGCATGATCTGAGGGTGGAGGTTTTGTTCCTTCGATGTCAAAAGGCTACCTCTCAGGCATTTGTGCAGGCCCAGTGGAAGGGTCAGTGGTCTCAACTGCTTTGACCTGGACAGGAGCTGCCCTAAGTTCCTGAAAAACAACTGAAGCGACTGTTACCATGGGGACTGATAAATGCTATCTATAAAGTAGCCAGTGAAGGCTAAGTTACAGGGTTCAGCGGCGTGGATTTCAGCTTTATGGAAAAAAATAACAAAAAGCAAGTGACTAAAAGCAAGCAGGACAGGCTAAGTTTGGCTAACCTCATCGGAGTCACCCCTCAGTTTCACTAGTACAGCGCCTTGGCCCAGAAGAGGTGTCCAGTTATGGTGAATGCATGGCCACATGAACACCCAAGAGGCAACTTGCAGTGTATAGAGGGCTTTGGCCTGAGGGCCACATGGTCCTCCCAGGAGACTGGTGACATAGGAAGGGCTGCATCTTATACCTGCTTCTTCATTGTGACTCTGGGACAGGTCACAGACCGAGACTGAAGGGGGGACCCAGTGGTCATTCCCATCATCCCCTCCCTGTCCCTCACACCTCGGATTAGCTGCAGGGGTCTGAGTCCTCTCCAGGGCTTTGGGCATTTCTTGCCAATGCCTACGCGAGGGGAGTTCAGTTCTAACCTCCGGCGGGTGCCTGGGTGGGCGCCAGCACTGGCTGTGCCGGCAACAAGTCTACTAAAGAGCCGCCTATGTTGGTATCCTTGTCTTTCACTCTGTTCGCTTTGATATCTTTTCGTCGTAGTTTAACAACCATCAGGGCAGCTCGTTATTTTAACCAAATACAGAAAACAGGAGAAGAAGCACCACTACTTTAGGAAACTGTGCTCAGAGGACGTCCCAGCTCCCTGCCAGTGATGCCTACTCCAGACTGTACCTGAGAGTAGAGCAGGACGTGGAGACAGGGAAGTCAGGGGAAGCAGGCTTGGAGACAGGGGCTCCAGCCCACGGGGAGCGGTAGAGTGGAGGCCCCCTTTGCCTGAAAGACTCTAGGCTCCTTCTCAGGGGCACAAGAAGCCTCTTCTGTCACCCAAGGCCCAGGGAAGTCATGCAAAGCAATCACTCAATTCCGTGGGGGGCGGGGTGAACCACCTTCCACCTCCCCCAGCCCCTCCGGTGTTTGCCTTTGCCTCCTCCCCTTCCCATCAGAGGCCCGGGCCAAGGACATGGGATGCTGTGGCCCTACGTCTCCTCTGGTCCGGTCCCCTTGGTCCTCCTGAGAGACTCTAGTAAAGGCGTCTCCCTATGTGGCATCTGGGCTGGAAGCCACGCGGAGCCTGGGGCGACACTCTTAGCAAGGGCCCCCAGCTACCTCCTTTGCTTTTCTCTTTCTTTTGTCTCTTCTGAAGCTTCTTGCTTGTCCCTGTCGGTCCTCCTCACACACCTGACAATTCTCAGGATGTCCTAACTT